CCCCCACCCCCACCCCATCCTCCCGGGCTGTGCTCAGAGCAGAGCTGCAATGCTAAATGCCAAAGCTAATATGATGCTTTCTAATAGCTCAGGTGATGCTAATCAGAAATTGTTGATTTCTGCAGCTAAGCTGAGCGTCACCATTGTTGCTTTATTCTGAACTCGGTGACCTGCTGTAATATTTTAAGTTGCTTGTCTGAGCTACTTGAAAATGTACCAAAAAAAAAAGCTGGGTTTGATAGCCTTCTGAAGTCCAAGTCAGCCTAGCTTAGGGTGTATCACATGCTTCCTCTTTGTATCAGCAGCTCGTAGCGTACCAGGCTCCTGCTAAGGCCTTTCAACTTCAGCCTCAATCCCCCTTCGGTACACGGAGCTATGCTCGCTTTGGCCAGATTTAGGTCACACAATTAATATCCCAATAAGTGACGTTCCATTTCAAAACAGCGACAAGCCTTCTTTTGATATCACTAAATCGGAATTCGCCGCGCACCGTCTCAAATAATTGTATTGACATTCACGTGATTGTCCTCGCCACGTGCTTTTGTCTCGCACAGATGAGTCAAAGCTGCATCCTGATGTCATCTTTTCTTTTGCAGATAAACACCGACGATCAGGGGTGGGCTGCAGAATGGACAGGACACACAAAGCGGGGACAGCGGGAAGCCTCTTCTGCCGACTGCTTGCTGCCATTTAGATGAAGTAAACAAGAGTGAAGCTGTTGTCTGCACACAACCTGATGGGGATTCTTGTTACGGCTGCGAGGCGCTGCATCGTTTTACCCAGCAGTCAAACTGGAGCGGGAACATCTCATGGACTGCAGCTGTGGGAATCTTTAACACATTATCAGCAGCTTTGTCATATGCACTAATATGTATTTATATTTAAATATATACACATATATAATTGTTTCATTTACGTTTGTAATTATTATTTTGCTGTAAACAATAAGATATAACATGTTACAAATGATCGTTAACCTATAGGCTCCACTTAACTTTGATTTGTTTTAATTTGTAGCCCAACGTTTTTGTTCAGATTCTGATCCGTTAGAGTTGCCAGGACTCAAAAGACGCATGAATGTGAGACCCACGACAGCAGTGAATTTGACTGCACTGCGATTGGACGGCTCCGTGTGTCGGCTGACACAATGGTGAAGGAGTGAGCTGTCGTCTTTATACTCTATGCAACTGTTCTGTCTCTTTTGCTTGAGCGGAGCCTTTTTCATCTGTGTAAGGATTTTTTTCTTTTGTTGGATTTTTTGGGGGCTAATCTTTTTTGTTTTTTTTGCATTTGTTAAATATCAAAATAAACATTTTCTTTTTTTAAGGAGCCTACACTGTTCGTGTACAAAAATACAGAGGAGTTTGAGTGTGTGTGTTCACTGTTGATAGATTGCATCTCATGTTTGCAGCCTTTGATAGTACCGTGCTGTCATAAAGAGAATTTAAACCAATGTAGACACATATTTAATAATCCTGATGGCAGGAGTGTCTTTGATCAGCAGGCCTGTGTACAGAAAATGCCACACTATTAAAATATGCTACCCAGCATGCCTCCAGACACACCAGCTTGCTTCATAACACTCACCTTGCTTCGACACGATGATACATCTTTGGGTGAGACGCGACAAATACATTGGCTTCAAACACAGCCTTAATTTCCTGTTATTGACATCAGCACACACACACACACACACACACACACACACACACACACATTTAAATGCAATAAGACAAGTACTATCACAGCCTAATTCATTCTTTATTAATTTTTGGGAAGTGGCATTTTTTTATTATGATTGATAATCTATGCAAATCTTTTAAAGTATTACATTAAACAGTCTATGCAGAGCTTTTTGCAATTGATTCGAGGGAGACTATCTTGGCCTAATTTAGAAAATGTATTCTTTTGATAATCATGCACATCCCAGTGCTCAAGACAATTACTTATCTGCCTGGATAAGCTTGAAATTATGTTTTTAATCTTTTGCAAGAAAAAAAAAAGTCACTCTTCTGATATCAGTCCAAAGGCATGAAAACCATGAATTTTGGTGTGTAATAATTAAATCAGTGCCACAAAATGTCGTTTTTTTTCATGTATATCAAATATATCTATTTAACTTTGCTCATTGGTCTATGTTTGTATTTAGCAACTTGATTGCTATGAATAAGAGCTCACCACATGTGCCTTTGTATGCCAAACTGTGTTGGAATAGTAATAAAGGTTTACATTGAAAACAAAGCAGAACTTGCACAGTGGATGTTTGTGTCTGTTTTTGTTTTTGTGTGTGTGCCTTTAGGTGGCAGAAGATTTAAAGAGAAATCAAAAAGGTTTAGCAGTCATGTGTTTTGTCCTTGACTTGTCTTTAAGCTTGATCAGCGTAGTTCTGTCGATCAGTTAAAAAATTTTTTAAATGCATATAACAGAAATCAAAGAAATCAAAATTATCATTTATGTTTCAGGATTAAAATAAAAAAATGAGAATTAAAAAAAAACAATTATCCAAGCAACATCCAGGATGAGGATTCATTTTCTGAAGTCTCGCCCATCAGGAGGAATACAGTGAAGATCTGTTTTTTATATATTTATTTATTTCTTGTCTTACTGTAAAATTAATTAGGGTGGAGATGCTTTCTAATGTAACCAGTTAAAGCTTGACCCTTTTTTTTGTTATGTAAATGAATAACGAGCTAATATGCATCCATACCAACAATGTTGAGGAAACTGAAAGCCCACATCCTTGATCGTAATGACGATTCGTGTGCGACGTGGCTGCCGTGCAAAAAAAAAAAAAAAAAAAACACCTTCCCTGTGTGATTTGCTGTCTGGCGCCACATATGGCGAATGTGCCAACATCAACATATGGTGCCCTCACAATTCATTAAAATTATCATGTATAAAGGGGGGGCGACGCCTCGGTAAAATAAATGAAATGTAACCTTTTACAGTACAAGTACGCTGCTCTTTTCATTCGTGTCCCTTCCTTTTATGAAGTCTCGGGTAATTTAATGAAAGACGTTTCCAGTTCAGCTCTCACCCCCCCCCCCCCACCCGGGGGTGTCTCTTCAGCTTGTAGCAACCAAAGCTTTACAAGCCGCTCGGCCCTTGTTTACGGCCACGCTGCACGTTCAAAACGAGCCGTTCCACATGTAAACAGCGGCTCCGTGCAAATATTACAGTGCCCTTATTAATCAGGGCAGCGCTGCAATTACATTATGTCCCGGGCATTAGCATCCAGAGAGCAAGTGCTGCTTTTCTGTGACAACTCCACTCACCCTCAGTGGTTCTTGGCTGTGTTATGGCCCCTCATAATCTGATTCACAGCTTTTGTCACGCTGCCAAGAGGCACGATGCTCCAGCCAAGCTCTATAGGCCTTAATGAACTGAGTGCCAATGTTAAGCACACTAGAACAAGCTAGAGTGACGGAGTACAACTGCGCTGTCACTTGCAGCCATGTTATATCGCAGTCGAAGATTTCACTGTTCCCTCTCAAAGCTGCATCATGTCTCTGGGCACGGAGGAAAACCTCCAGTTTGCATTCATTTGGGGGAAGTTGGTGACCTTAATGGGAGAAATCCTGCGTTTAGGGAGCTGGACGTGGCTTCGTCTTGGCATGAAACACAAAATGGCTGCCCGTGACATTAGATCATGGGAGCGAAGGGTTGGATTTTAAGACGGCGCTGAGTGACACTAATAAATGGAGAGGCCACACTTTGATGGACAAATTCACAAGGCCTCGTGGCAGGGGGGCGTCTGAAGAGGGAATGGCGGGTTTTGGTGCACGTCCAAGGTCTAAGAACTAGGGTGCTGGTCCTTTCACAAGTTCCTCGGAATCATCATTGGTATGCAGGAATGTGCCCTCAGGAGGCCTTTCTGTGCGATTTTAGAGGCTTTTTTGCAACCAGTCGCTAACTGAGGATGTGTCTCTCTCCGGATCAGATTGCTACCAGTGCCAAAGAAAAGTGGGCATCCCTCCAGACCCGTCTCTCTTTGTTATGTGATTGCAGCGATGCAGGCCGCTCATTTTGGTCAGCAAGAAAAGGAAAAATGATTTCAGATACTTTAAAAGATATGTCATCCTGCCAAAACTTTATATANATATATATGTATGTATGTATTTCAGTATTTGTGGAATAAAATGTGGAAAATGTAGAATAGTTGGGATTTCATTTTTTGAAATTTATGAATAACAAAACCATTTTACTGTTTAGTCACAGAGAATGTATAATAAAAGTACTTATTTTTGTTAAAACATCTTACATCAGTAGTAAATGAAACAGTAAGAGTGGACTGATAAAATCATCTTTTTTTTGCAAAGTGAAGATGGATAAGTTCATTTAATGTGTTAAAAACGTAATAAATTTTGCTAAACAACGTTACAAAAACGTCTGATTTTTATTTCTTGTTAATAAGTGAGTGCAAAAAGTAAGACAATTTTATAGTAGCATAGTTTATAGTTCTTGTTCAAAAATTCAAGAGAAAAATGCTGAATTTTTAAGTTTTACTTAGATCCTTAAAATCTTAAACGTGCAAATTTGTATTTGTGTGACACTTGTAAATCACAAGAAAACAAGAAGTAGACGAGGTCACATGGATGCTCACTACAGTTAAAATATATCGAAATATATCACATATGCCAAAACCTATTTACTAAACAAGATGTTTTTACAATAAAAATGTTTGTGTACAAATAAAAAGTACATAAGTTAAAAAAGTACAAATATGATTTACACCTAAAAACGATTTCAAAAACTGAAGCATTGAGTCATTTCTGTGCTCTAAATGCTGCGTTTATTGTTTTACAACAAATACAACATATGTAGTTTCAAACAGCTGCCCTAACCCTTTTTTTCAAAAAAGGGCTAATTAAACAAGTCTTGCACAACTTCAGCACCTGCACCTATGTGTAATTTGTATCATTATTCTCAAGAAAACGACTAAATGGTCCTCATGAGAAACTATTGTCTTCACATTAATACAACTGTGTTAAATTATTGATTTTCTTCTGTACAATTCTCATATTTTCTGGTCAACAAATTAGAAAAAAAACATTATTATTGTGTTAATTATTATTGTCTGCTCATCACAAACCTCCGTGTGTGACTGACCGAGTGGAGATCCAATTTAAAGTTTTAATATTTGTACAGGCAGCGCTCCAGTTAAACCACCAAGCCTAAACCCTGTTTCACCCCGGCGTACTTAGAGATTATGTATGAAGAAGGAAAAAGTTGAGCAGGAAAGGTTAGTAAAACCTGCAGCTCAGGCCTGATGAGCGTGAGCTTCGGATGCTTTTCTTCAGGGCGAAAAGAGCTCTGTTGTGGAATGTCAAGTAGTTTGGCTCGGGAGGGTGACTGAAGCGGGAAGTGATTTGACTAATGTTTTCTCTTTCACAGAGCAGCCCTCCTCCACATCCTCCCCGACCACCGAAAAAAAAAAAAAACCTCCAGAAAACTTTAGGGTGATGTCATTCATATGCAAAACAGGCATGCTTTTAGTTGGTGTGTATGTGTCTGCGAGCTCGTTTGTGTGTTGCTTGAGTGGTTGATTCCATTACTTGAAGGACCATTACACTTGCCTGTCAAAAGCCAAAAGACCTGAGAAAAATTAGCAGATTAAATCACTCTGCACCTTTTCCTCCTCCCTTCCCCTGCAAGCTTCCAGGCTCCTGCTTCTTCTGAGGACGTGTTTTGACAAAATCAGAATATAGCTTACATCTCCTGAGTAAGAAGCCTCAGTGTTTGATCAGTGACAGAACCTAATTCTGGTGACAAATCTCTTTAAGAAAATGACAAAAAAAAAGAGTCAAATAAAAACAAAGATAATTGTGTCAGACACAATCAGGAATCAGGGCAGAGCTCCTGGGAACATGAGTGGCTGGAAGGCAAAATCCTATAAACAGGGGCAAGCAGGCAGATTGAAGCTAACTGTGCTTTTACAGTCTTGTAAAATCAAGTTACACGGATTTTAAAGGTTCCAGAACAAATTTATTGGTGCGTATTGGAAAAGTTTAAATGTCATAGAGAGGTCAAAAGTTTTGGGACTAGTTGATGGTTCGAACTGAAATCCAAAATAATCACAACAATATCAATTTTTACCAAAACTATGTTACAATTTTTGGTAATTATATACTTTTTTTTGGTAACAGGATAAGTCCAGCAGAGGTTTTCATCTGAAAAAACAAAAGATTGAAGCTCAAATCCCAGAAAGTAGGCGCCACGGTGGCTCAGTTGGTAGAGCTGATGCCTCTCAGCAAGAAGGGTTACCGGATCAAATCCAGGTCTGGGGACCTTTCTGGGTAGAGTTTGCATGTTCTCTCCATGCATGCGTGGGTTTTCTCCGGGTACAAAGGCTTCCTCCCACAGACCAAAAACATGACTGTTAGGTTAATTGATAACTCTAAATTGTCCCGAGTGAGAGAGTGAATGGTTGTTTGTCTTGTTTGTCTCTATGTGTGGCCCTGCAATAGACTTGCGACCTGTCCAGGGTGTACCCCGCCCCTCGCACTGTGACTGCTGGATATGGGCACCAGTGACCCACGCAACCCTGAAAAGGAAGAAGCGTGTACAGAAAATGGATGGATGGATGGATGGATCGATGGATGGATGAATGGATCTC